CCATGGCGCACTACAGTTGATCTGAGGCATGGAGAGCATGGCTGATGGGTGAGCTTGTAGCAGGCGCACACACAGACTCTGCTCTTTTTGGCGGCCCTTCTTGCCATTGGGGCTGCTTCTCGCTTTCCTCCACACTAGTGCCTCCATGCCTTGCTCACCAGCCTGATTCACAGCCTGCAAGGTTTCCCTTTCACTGGGATCGCCCCGCCTCCAAGTGGGAAAGCCACAGCCAGTGGCAGCATGGCCACTGGCAAGGTTGCCAGTCTCTCCCCCTCCCCTTGCCCCTTCCTGAGCATGGAGGAGACAAAATGGGACTTTTAGCCATGGGGCTTCTGCCTGCCAGCATGTGATAAGAGATTGCAGGGGTTGTCGGGGGACACGGCAGGTGAACAGCGGTGGCATGTGGTTTCTGGCATGGGGGGTCGGAAGCAAAACTGCCCTTTCGGCAGGCATAATCAATCCCGGTGTGGAAACAATGGAGGGGAGGCTGGACTAAAAGGGAAGCCACTACTCTGCATTTTTTTTAAGCTGCCAGAGGCTCCCATTTTGACCCCTTCCCCTATTATTTCCTCCTGCTCCGTGGCTCTCAGCTCACCTCTCCCAGAAGCTGTGCACGTGTTTGTGTGTGTATGCATGCATGGGGGGGGGCTCCACACTGTGACACTGAGGAGGAAAAGAACTGGTGAGTTAAGAGAAACTGTGATGGGAGCTTCTTACAGTCTTCCACAAGGCTGGGGGCGGGAGCTGAGAGGGCCAGGGTGCGATGCGATAGGCAGCAAGTTGAGAAAAAGAAACAAGTACTCCAAAAAACCAGCTTTCATTAGTTTTCAGCCTGCCATCACAGAAGGTCTCTGTTGAGGGTGCGGGGCTGCAAGGGGTGAGAGACACACATACACACCTTCGCGCATGCGCTCTCTCTCTCTCACACACACACAAACACATGTGTGGGTCTGGGAGAGGTGAGCTGAGCCATGCAGAGGCAATGACAGGGGGGAGGGGAAGCCTTTGCCCACTACTGGCTGCCTGTTGCCATCTCTGCACGGAGCCTCTGGCAGCTTAAAAAAAAAGGAAGGAAGGAAGGAAGGGAGGGAGGGAGGGAGGGAGGGAGGGAGGGAGGGAGGGAGTAGTAGTCAGGGAGGGAGGGAGAGGCAATTTGGTTGGAAATGCCCTAGTTCAAAGGAGAAAGTTATTTTGTGTTCTATTTTGTCACAGACAGAATTTGTTGGCAATCCAAGTTAACATTGGTATTCTTGAATTGTGAGCTCTTAGGAAAGTATCCCATCCTTATATGTTGCCAACAGCCATTTCCAGTGGGGAAAGCAGGACAAAGCAGGGTGGGGAAAATATTTTCCTTTGGTATATTTCCAGTCTGAATTAGACCAAGGCAGGCTCCCTACAGGAGAGCCCTTTTAAGGATTATGTATTAATAGAAAAACAACTAACTTACTTCTGCTCATAAAAGCTAAAGCTGTTTGCACATAAAAAACAGAGGAGCTCTGATTAACTATCACAGCCACCATTTTGACAGTTTTGCTGTACTGTTGTCTGTGGACGCCCCCACTAAAAGCAAGCACGGGATACACTGAGCCTTGTTTGTTCTCAGTCTTTTAAGTGGCCACAAACTACTAGCAAAAGTAACATTTGATCACAAGGCAAGGAGGCATCAAGAAATGTTTCCCCATTTGCATCTGAGCATCCAAAAAGGGACAGAAAAGGAGAAAGGAAAGAGGAAAGACAAAGAAAAAAGAAGAGGGGAAGAGAGTAAGGAATAAAAAAGAAGGAAAGAGGGGAAGTAGAAAGAAAGGAGAATAAAGAGGGAACGAAAAAGAAGAAAAGGGAAGAAGGAAGGAAGGAAGGAGGAAGGAAGGAAGGAAGGGTATTACAATGAGAGAGAGAGAAGGTCTGAAGGAAGTTCTGCCTTAGCATTTGGCCACCAGCAAACCTGCTGTCCTTTTGCCATCCTCTTGTCTCCTCCTCCTGATCTCTCCTGGTGGTCTCCCATCCTATTGCTGAGGATGCTTTAGTTACAAAGCCAGATTTCCTTGCTTGGAGAGGGAGTGGGCCCCCCTCTGACCCACATATTTTGCCCTCCTGCACACATCATGAGCAATCTGGCCAAGGAGAGCAAGAACAGCAGCAGCAGCTTCGAGGAGGAGGTAAGCGCAGCAGGGCAACCCCTTGGGACAGCAGGGCTGGCCTGGGCTGGGCTGTGGGGTCCCGGTGCCCCGGGAGCTCGAGGACCAGCCTGGGCGCTTGCCCTCTACTATCCAGGGCTCCGGGCAGTCTGCGCTGCCATCCGGGGGTCTTCCACATGGCCTGAGAGGGACAGCAGGGCTCCTCTGGTGGACAACAATTTGGCGCTCACCCTAGTCTCGCTTTTCTCCACTGAAGATAGTGGATCCCCCCAGTCCCGCCCAGACCACACAGGTGCCCCCCAACACAAGCGATGTCGACCTGGCCACACCCACCCCAATCACACACACCCCAGCTCCCCCGAGGTCAACCAAAACCATGATGTGGCCCTCAGTGAAACTGAGTGTGACACCCCTGCTCTAAAAGCTTATAAATAATTAAGTGGGGATCTGGCTGCAATCACTAATTCAGGTTGGATACAACATACTCTGAGTAGAACTGTCCTCATAAAGTAGTTGGAAACCTCAGTTATCAGAACTAGATTTTGGTGGAAATCTAGTCTATTTTGGGGCACAGCTGAAGTGATAATTATTTCCTAAAACGGTGGTCCCCAACTTTGTAGCTTGGCGGCCTGGCTGGGGGGAGGGAGAGGGGAACTGGGCCATGTGAGTGGTGGGCCGGCGCACGCACAGCTCTACTCACACAAGAGAGAAGCCTTTGGGGACCCTGTGTAAGAGTCATCCCAAGAAATTTGGCCAATAGTTAAAAGGATTCTTATTTCAGCATACTTTTGAATTATTTTACTTTTGCACTCTACATGTGGCACTGTTATTAACTCTTCTCTCTTTAATACTACCATGTTTCCCCAAAAATAGGACCTGGATTTTTTTTTTTCCTCCAAAAGAGGCACGTCTTATTTTTTGGGGGTGGGTGAGGGGTGTCTTTTCCACTCACTTCCGGCACCGACAGCCCCGCCCAGCCAGCCCACTTCCTCTGGGGCCGAAGGAACAGCTTCATTCTGCATCTGAGAATAGAACTCCGGCCTGCATTTCATAGTCAAAGGCCATTCTGGAAGGTCACTGAAGCTGAGAATCGAGCTAATCCATAGCTCGGTTCTCGGCTACAGAGGCTTTGCAGAACTGAGTTATGCATTCAGTCCATAGCTTGGTTCTCAGCTGTAGTGGCCTTCCGGAAAGGCCTCTGACTATGAAATGCAGACCTAGGGATCCTGCAGAAGTGGTCCGGCAAAGAGAGGCCTGGTTCCAAGGTAAGCTGGTGCGGAACGTGTGGGGCAGCTCCACCCCCACCCCAGCTTGATTTTTAGGTGTGCGCCTCACCCCAAAACTAGGGCTTCTTTTTGGGGTAGGGCTTATATTAGGCCCACCCACAAAAATCAAGCTAGGGCTTATTTTTGGGGTAGGTCTTACTTTGAGGGAAACACGGTAATAGCAATAGCACTTAGATTTATATACCGCTTCACATGCTTTACAGCCCTCTCTAAGCAGTTTACAGCGTCAGCATATTGCCCCCAACAATTTGGGTCCTGATTTTAACAACCTCAGAAGGATGGAAGTCTGAGTCAACCTTGAGCTGGGAAGACTCGAACTGCCGAATTCCTGTCAGCCAGGAGTCAGCAGAAGTAGCCTGCAATGCTGCATTCTAACCATGGTGTAGTGACATTATTATGGTTAAGATTTTATTGCATATATTTATTCTATGGAGTAAGCTATTTTGATGGCTCTGGTACTTGAGATAAACTAAAATAAATCAATAAATTGGCTGAATTCCATACAAGACGTGGAGTCTTGTATGGAATTCAAGGTTGGAAGTCAGGTTGCTGCTTTTCTCAAAAAAATGTGAGGAACAGCAGAAGCCTCTGTTAACACTGGAAGTCAGTGGACAGTAGAAGCAAATGGGGCAGCTTTCCAGGGGCCCAAAGAGTTCCAGATAGCTAGAATAACCCATCTGTTTTTAAGAAAGGCCTATGAGGCCAAGTACAAGAAGCCATTCTGAATTCTTCTGCAATGTGAACACACAAAGTCTAAATTGCCTCTAGGGAAAGATTTAGAGTGATTAGATGATAATATTTTTCTCATTTTTTGCCAAAATGTTCCTCTTCCTGAACCACTCAGAGTACAGTCTGCTCACCATGGACATAGGAAAATATTATTTTTCTGATTATGGATACTGTAGAGTTATTAATATCAATGTATACTTTAAGGAGCCTCCCATTTTGATGAGTCACTTCCAGACTCTTCCCACAAAATAAAACTTTTAACAAGGCTGAATTGGGCTTTCCTGTCTCCTTCATATTTGTCCCTCTTCTTTCCTATACTTATGTTAGCTTTTCAAGACAAAGCCCAGCATTGAAAAGCATACATTTTGTGATGTATGGCAATGTGTCCTGTCTAGCCAAAGCCTCTATCAGACCAAACAAGGCTTTTACACATCAAACCTTACTATAAGTCATTCAAATTCTTCTCCACTCTCTCTCACATTCCTCTTTTATGGGTTCAGAAACAAACAAACAAACAAAAAATAATAATGGCTGTCACAGATCTTTCCAACATTCAAATGTGTTAATTGAGTATTTCATGTTTGGCTAAAAGTTCTTTCCAACTTCATGATTCAATCTTGGCATTCTGCTTATATTCTCAAAAAAAGAAAAGAAAAGAAAAAAAGAAATGGAGAGCAGCCTATTAAATGAGCAAGATAATAAATCTGAATAAACCATTTGTGATTATATAATTTGGTTTTATATGGGCCAATATAAATAAAAAAACAGCTTGGAAGCAATGCATATTAAAAATCCACTTTGCATTTTCATTTGACAAGTCACCAAGCATTTCTCTGTTTTAAATACTCACTCTAAACGCTCTTCCTCTGTTTTGCGCAGATCAAAGTCCCGCTGAACTACTTCCCAGACATGTTTGGCCTCTTCATCTGTTAATCTGGAAAGATTGAGCTTCTTTCCCATTTTTAGAAAATTAAAACTCCTAAAAGTGAAATAAAGGTAAGATAAATGTAATCAAATCGGAGACACCTATAGTTATTTCCAAGGCACATTTAGTGTCAGCTCTATCTGATTTGGCTTGGTGCCTCACAGGCATCCTGCCATCAAAGGCTAGAAGGGAAGGAGGATGGAAGGGGAGGAAGATAGAAGGGCAATAAAACTTTGTGTGTATGTGATGGGAAATCAGGAAGGGGGAATGGCAGGTGATAAAGACCAGAGCAGCCGGATCCTGTTTGTGCCAGCATCCCACGGCCAGGCACCCTGAGAAATATGTGGATTACCCCCAAACATCTCAGAATTCTCAAAACGTCTTGGCGAACTTCAATTGGCTGGAAACGGGCTGGTCACGGGGGAAGGGATAGGCTGCGGGTGAGGCTATTTGTATCTTTTGAGCTCTGTGGAATTCAGAGCTAGCCTCACTTTACTGCAACCAACACCTTTAGTAAAAGAACCCTTTGCTTTAATCAAATGGAGTCAAGGTCTTTCTTTCCTAAGGGATCAGATTGGGGCAGGTCTGACATTTAGTTTTTGTTTAGAACTGTTTAGATTTACAGGAAGCATCCATTCTGTAAAGATACATACAGTGCTTTCTCTGAATAATGCAGAAATTAGTTTTTATTTAGAATAGGTTAAAGAAAAAACCTTAAATACAGACTGCCAAAATCTACTGTGTTTCCCTGAAATTAAGACCCGGTCTTATATATTTTTTTGCCTCCAAAAGAGGCACTAGGTCTTAATTTTGGAGAATGTCTTACCTTAGGACAGTGATGGCGAACCTTTTAGAGACTGAGTGCCCAAATTGCAACTTAAAACCCACTTATTTATCACTGGGTGCCAGGTGGGCATGGCCCACTGGGTGGGCATGGCTGTGGTGGTCATGGCAGACTGGGTGGGTGTGGCCAAGGTCACCTCAATGTTGCTCATGGGGAGGGACACCTGTGGGGACCAGGCAGGGTTGGGGGAGATCCAGGGGGTCTCTGGCAGGTGGGGCGATGGACAGGAGGCTCATCCTGCGGGGTGAAGTGAGGCAAGGTGAGGCAGAGCGGGGGTTGCCATTGTCGCAGGGTAAGTTGAGGCAGGGGCAAGGGCAGCTGCTGCCTGACACCATCGGCCCCTGCACACAGAGGCCAGCGAGCGCATGGGGGCCGACAGTGTCTGTCAGCAGCCATAGCCTGCCGGTGCACTCTGGGGCTCTGCAGCCCGTCGGCAGTTCAGAGAAGCCACCTCTGAACTGGATGGACAGCCTACAACTGAGGAGGCGATGCAGTGGGTCGTGCCCGGGAAAAGAAGAGCATGCGAGGCCAGGAGGGATGGGATGGGGGGAGGGAAACCAGCTGTGCTGGGATGCATCTGGCCACTTGGGACCTCGGCGAGTTAGCGGGTGGCTGGTTGCCATCTCTGGGGCATGGCGCGTGTGCCCACAGAGAGGGCTCTGAGTGCTACCTCTGACACACGTGCCATAGGTTTGCCACCATTGCCTTAGGACCACCACAGCCAGGCCTCCCACACCCCGACAGCTGTCACCCCACTGCTTGACTTTTGCAGCCGCTTGCTGCCACTTGTGGCTGGATGCCATGTGGCTCACTGCGCCATTGCTGCTACTCATGGCAGGAAGCCACATGGTGCTTTGCATTGTTTCTGCTGTTCACGGCTTTGGGCCATTTCTGCTGCTCGCGGCAGGATGCTGCCTGGCTCTTCAGGCCATTTCTGCCAGCAGAAAGAGCCACGCATCGTCCTGCCGCGAGCAACAGAAATGGCACAAAGCATCATGTGGCGTCCTGTCGTGAGCAGAGAAAACGGCTCGAAGTGCTGTGAAACCTCCTGCTACTCGCGGCGGCACTAGAGTGACAAACCACACAGCTTGACAAGTGTCAGGACGTGGGAGGCCTAGCTGTGGCGGTCCTACTGGTGAGGCAAGTGGGTGCGGGGCACATGGGGTAGCTTCACCCCCCCATCCTCGCCCTAGCTTGATTTTTAGGTGTATCCCTTGCCCCAAAACTAGGGCTTGTTTTTGAATAGGACTTATATTAGGCCCACCCTCAAAAATCAAAGTAGGGCTTACTTTTGGGCTCGGTCTTACTTTCAGGAAAACATGCTTTGTAAGTATAGTCACTTGTAATGAAAATGGATGGAAAAATGGAAAAAAAGATTGAAAACATTTAGTTCCAGCAATATAGAGAATCTGCCCTTCTAAAAGTAATTGGTGACATTTTCCAAAAAGAAATTTGAGTTGTCACTGGGCAGGTTTTGCCATAATTTTGGCTGCAATATATAAATATAATTCAGTTAATCAGGAATAACAATCAGGAATAAAAAGTTAAACTGAAGAGAATGAGCAAAAAAGCTGTATATTCCAGGGAACTGTGGATTTCTCTATATCTGTGGTGGTGAACCTATGGCATGCGTGCCATAGGCAGCACGCAGAACCATCCCTGTGGGCATGCACACCATTGCCACAGACAGAGGGACACAGGGCTGGGTTCCTCCCTTCCCCCTCTCCAGACATGCAGAGTCCAGGAACAGTTGTGTGAGGTGGGCAGGGTGAGGGAACTGATAAAAGGAGTTTTGGCGGGAGAGTGAGCGGCCTTTGGAAGTGACCAGTGGTGGGTTTCAAATCATTTAACAACAGATTCTCTGCTTCATCTTCCTTCCGTCTTGGTTGGGCTGGGCTGCTCAGGGGGTTGGCTGGGGTGGGTGCAAGAGGGTGGGGTCATCAGGTCCCGGCTGGGGGAAGGTGAGGGGGTCTGGTCAGGGGGAGTAGGAGGGCTGGGATGCCTCCACAGAGGAAAGCTGCCCCCCCACCAGCCAAGCCTCTCACCCACACTGCGGTCATGTAGGATTGCATAGAAGGGGCATGGAGCATGGGGCTGGGGGGTGGCCAGCAGGGGAGAATCAGAACCACCATCCCCCTTCTGCAGTGCAGCCCCATCGGTGTGGGCGGAGACGGTCCCGAGACAGTTGGAAAGCCCACATCTGGTGCAGGCCCTGTCTACACAGTGGCTCTGACGGAGGCGGTGGCTCTGTTCCTCCTGCTGCTCTGAGCCCCTTGACCGGCCAACCACACAGGGAAGCAGGAGGCAGTGGTGGTGATCCCTGCATCGCCAAGCCCAGCCGCCAGCAGATCTGGAAGCGAAGCTGTGCTGCTCATTCTTGCGCTGGTGGGGGCAGTGGCGGGGGAAGGTGAGCTGTGGCACACGCCCACCCCTCCCTGCTGACACCCTATATCATTGCACACACACTTCCTGGAGGTGCACGTGGGACAATGTGGGGCAGCAGCGGCAAAGGGTGGAAGCATGCCAGATCCCACCTTCCCCCTCTGCCCCCACCAGCGCAAGAATGGTGGCACTGCTTCACTTCCAGATCTGCTGCCTGACACCATCAGTTCCTGCACACAGAGGCCAGTGAGCGCATGGCGGCTGACGGTGTCCATCAGTAGCCACAGCATGCTGGTTGTCCTGCATAATGGCAAACTGGCCATGACGCCCCATCAGCGTGGACGGAGATGGCCCTGGGACAGCCTGAAGGAAGCCCTTGCCTGGCCTGGGCCTAACCACTCGACGGCTCTGACGGGGGTGGTTTCTGCTGCTGCTTCGACCGGTCAACCATGCAGGGAAACAGGAGGAGGTGGAGGAGCAGCCAGGAGTCTGGAACCGCCTTGGCTGCACGCTGGCAGCCAGACGAGGCAGTGGATTTCATGCACAAGAGCGCTGGCTGCCCCTCCACCTCCTCCTGCTTCCCTGCATGGTTGACCGGTCAGAGCAGCAGGAGGAACTTCCTTCCGGCTGCCCCAGCTGTCCCGGGGACATCTCCGCCCACGCCAATGGGGCTTTGTGGCCAGTTCACTATTGTGCAAGACAGTCAGCATGCTGTGGCTGCTAATGGACACCGCTGGCCTCTGTGTGCGGGGGCCGATGGTGTCAGGCAGCAGATCTGGAAGCGAAGCTATGCCACCAATCCTCGCGCTGGTGGGGGCAGTAGCGGGGGGAGGCAAGATCTGGCATACTGTTCTGTTCCAGCCTATTGCTGTCCTTGTTAACTTCACAAGGACCAAACCCCTGCTGCAAAGTCGTCCAAAAATGGGTTACGTTGAGCTAACAAGGGTGTGCCCCAACGAGCTGCAGAACCAGAAAGCAGGCTTATCATAAACCCCACTTTATCCCGGTCAGTGGGGAAATCATCTGCTTTCACACTAATGTACAAGTGGCATTGTCCCATGAAAACAGAAAACATGTCCACGTTGCCATCAAATTTGTCTAGCCTCGCCACTTGGCATTTTCTCCTGGGTGGTGGTGGAGCAGCAGTCACCTGGGCAGATAGCTGAGCAACTTGGGCAGATAACAAAGGCAGCTGCTGAGCAAGCTGGGCATTCTCAGCACGTAGCTGCTCCATGATAGTAGGGGGTGAGGCTGAAGGCAAACTGTTCTGTTCCAGCCTATTGCCATCCTTGTTAACTTCACAAGCACCAAACCCCTGCTGCTGCAATAGGCTGGAAGACTTGCAAACAAAAACAAAAAACCCTTTTAATATTGTAGACAAACTTGTCAAATACAGCAAACTTAAGTCCAAAAGAGCACAATGAAAAACAAACAAGAAATCACAAGAGAAGTCACAGATCAAAATTCCAAGACGAGGTTTTCAAACAGTTGCCTTCAGCAGCCAGCACCACCCACACCTCCTCCCTTTAATTAGCAGTCCTAAGGTGGTGCCTCCCCTTGCCGTTTCTTCTTACTTTGGAGGTGCTTCATTGACCTCTGTTGCCTTACTCTGGCTAATTGACGCCACCTGCCTGCGTCACTTAGCAAGTCCATCTGTTATGATTCTTCCAAGTCTGATTCATGCTCTTCACCCAACTGAGCTTCATCAGAAACACGACCGGAGGGCCCAGGCTCTGCATCCAACTGTGAGTCCTGTGCCTCAGAGCCTCCCTCTGGCTCTGAGGGCCCTTCAAATGCCTCCTCCACCTCCTCCTCAGATTCCTCCGAC